CTGTCATATCCACACCTCTCTGAGACACACGCCTCCTCTGAGACTCACCTCTGTTCGTGCCACCTCGCCTGGGGACAATGAGAGTGAGAGTGGAGGGACAGAGCCCTGAAGAACTGGCCACTGGGCCTGTCCTGTCAGCTGCCTGGAGTGCCTGATGTCTCTTGCTCTGGAGAAGCCAAGAGGAGCCCTCCTGAGAACCCCTGGGGACCCTTGTGAGAGCAGGACAGGAAGTGAAATTTTTTTTTTTTTTTTTTTTTTGAGACAGAGTCTTGCTCAGCCGTTCAGGCTGGAGTGCAGTGGCGCAATCTTGGCTCGCTGCAACCACCGTCTCCCAGGTTCAAGCGATTCTCCCATCTCAGCCTTCCAAGTAGCTGGGATTACAGGCACCTGCCATCATGCCTGGCTAAATTTTGTATTTTAGTAGAGACAAGGTTTCACCATGTTGGCCAGGTTGGTCTTAAACTCTTGACCTCAGGTGATCTGCCCGCCTTGGGCTCCCAAAGTGCTAGGATTACAGGCGTGAACCACCGCTCCCAGCCAAGAAGTGAATTCTTGAACACACATACCAGTATCTCTTATTGCTATATATTTTTCTCATTATTAATATGTTCACTGCAAAAAGTTTGGAAAACATAAACATTTAAAAAGAAAAGAAATTTTACTCATTATCTCATATCTAAAGATAAGCACTAACAAAATACTTTGGAATATCTACTTCCAGGCTTTTTTCTATGATATGTAACTTTTTTAAAAAAAACAAAAATGGAAGACCAGGCCCGGTGGCTCACGCCTGTAATCCCAACGCTTTGGGAGGCCAAGGCAGGTGGATCACCTGAGGTCAGGAGCTCAGGACCAGCCTGGCCAACATCGTGAAACCCTGTCTCTACTAAAAATACAAAAATTAGCCAGGTGTGGTGACGGGTGCCTGTAATCCCAGCTACTCAGGAGGCTGAGGCAGGAGAATCGCTTTAACCTGGGTGACAGGGGTTGCAGTGAGCCGAGATTGTGCCATTGCACTCCAGCCTGGGCAATAGAGTGAGACTCTGTCTCTTAAAAAAAAAAAAGAAAGAAAAGAAATGTGCTGTTTCATAATCTGGTTTTATTTTGTTTTTTTGTTTTGTTTTGTTTTGTTTTTAGAGACAGGTCTCACTCCGTTGCCCAGGCTGGAGTGCAGTGGTGCCATCATAGCTCACTGCAGCCTCAAACTCCTGGGCTCAAGCAATCCTCCTGCCGTGGCCTCCCGAGTAGCTGGAACCACAGACATGTGCCACCACACCCAGCTAATTTTTTTTTTTTTGTAGAGATGAAATCTTACTATGTTGCGCAGGCTGATCTCAAAATCAAGCGATCCTCCCACCTCAGCCTCTCAAAGTCCTGGGATTGTAGTCATGAGCCCCTGTGCCTGGCTAATTATTTTTCTAACTTTTGTTTAAATCTTTGTCAGTTTGACGGGAAAAGGAAGACTGGCTTTGCATTTCTTGTATTTCCACGTAAGGCCAGACCATGGCTCATACTGGTTCGGCTGTCTGGGAATAGTCTTAGAATTGCTTATCCATAGCTGGGTGCGGTGGCTTATGCCTGTAATCCCAGCAATTTGGGAGGCTGAGGCGGGCAGATCATGAGATCAGGACATCGAGACCATCCTGGCCAACATAGTGAAATCCCATCTCTATTAAAGATACAAAAAAATTAGCTGGGCATGGTGGCATGCGCATGTACTCCCAGCTACTTGGGAGGCTGGGGCAGGAGAATCACTTGAACCTGGAAGGCGGAGGTTGCAGTCAGCCAAGATCACACCACTGCATTCAAGCCTGGCAACAGAGCGAGACTCCAAAAAAAAAAAAAAAATTGCTTACCCATGCCCTGTCTGTTTCTTTTCTCTTAGCATTACTCAGTCTTTTTCTTGTTGGTGTGTAGGAACTCTTTCCTTTGGTTGTCTGCCTGTTATATAGGGAATATCCTTATGCCCTTAGGCACACTTGTGCCATAAGGAATCTCTACTCCTTATACCCCACAGTGTCCTGACCTTGTGCTGGGGACTGGGCATGCAGGGGTGTGGAAGGCATGGCCGGGCCTCACGGTCCAGTGGGAGCCCTCAGATCTTCCTCCTAGTCCTGTAGTCTTCCATTTATTAAAGAAGTAAAACCTTTTTTCAAATCTTGTTGTATTAACCGGGCATGGTGGCTCACACCTATAATCCCAGCACTTTGGGAAGCTGAGGCGGGTGGATCATCTGAGGTCAGGAATTTGTGACCATTCTGGGCAACATGGCGAAACCCCATCTCTACTAAAAATACAAAATTAGCGGGACATGGTGACACATGCCTGTGATCCCAGCTACTTAAGAGTCTGAGGCAGAAGAACACTTGAACCTGGGAGGCAGAGGTTGCAGTGAGCTGAGATCGCGCTACTGGGTGACAGAGCGAAACTCTGTCTCAAAAAATAAGTAGGCCGGGCATGGTGGCTCACACCTGTAATCGCAGCACTTTGGGAGGCCGAGGCAGGCAGATCACTTGAGATCAGGAGTTCAGGACCAGCCTGGGCAACATGGTGAAACCCCATCTCTACTAAAACTACAAAACTTAGTTAAGCATGGTGGCACATGCCTGTAGTCCCAGCTACTCGGGAGGTTGAGGCAGGAGACTCGCTTGAACCCGGGAGGCAGAGGCTGCAGTGAGCCAAGATCGTGCCACTGCACTCCAGCCTGGGTGACAGAGTGAGACCCTATCTCAAAAAAATAAATAAATAAACAAATCTTATTGTATTAGTTTACTGGGGCTGCTATAGCAAAATATTGCAGACTGAGTAGCTTCAACAAGCTGACGTTCTCACAGTCCTGAAGGCTGGAAGTCTAAGATCAAGCTGTCAGCAGGTTCCGGGTTTCCAGAGGCCTCTCCTTGGCTTTCAGGTAGTGGCCCTTCTCCCTGTGTCCTCACCTGGCAGTCCTGTGCCCTCCCATCTCTAGTGTCTCTTGGTATGTCTAAATTTACTCCTCTTGTAACAACCCCAGTCACATTGGATTAGGGGCCACCTGAACAGCTTTATGTGCATTTAAGCACTCTTTAAAGGCGTGACTCCAAGTACAGTCACATTCTGATGTACTGGGGGTTAGGGCACCCACGTATGAATTTTAGGGTGACAGAATTCATCCCGTCACACGGAATCCCAACACTTAAAAGACTGACACACGTGACATTTTGATATGGATCAAATTGTTTTA